AATTACACATTAGTAAATAATTTTAGGAGTAAATTTCTGAATTTTTCATGATAAGCTGTGAATAGTGTAGTTCAATCACATCGAGTAAGAGGTAGTTAACCTTCAAAGGTATCGGAAGATAGTGACACGATATTGATCGACGTTTGACCCGTTAACTATTTGATACCGGTTAAGTAATTTAAAGCATATATACTCATTGTAAGACATGCGATCCTGCTTGAGAACACTGATGAGGATGTGAACAATCCCAAACTATGACGAAACAACTGCTGTATTTCTTGGTTTCAAATGATTCCTTAAATAAGATCGGTTTGTAGGAGAAAACCAGAATATTAATCATAGTTAATAGAATGGATATGTCCATCTAAGTAGTTTTGTCGCATTTCTTTATTTCTCATCCTGTTCAATTTCAGTATTTTCATTATAGTAGTAATGGATTAGTTACAAAAACCCATCAGCTTCTTTCATTTCTATCATATTTCTCAAGAGTTATTTATCCGCTTAGGGACAGGTATATATGTATATGAACATATACATTATATGCATATCTAAACATACATTTTTATGTGTGTATTAGATCAGAAGATAATGAGTAAGCATATGGGTGTACACTTTGAGACACACATACACATGCACACAGATAAAACAACAAGTGGTTGAATGACCGCTGCAAGTTTCCAACTAACTTTCTTACATTTTATCAATTTTTTTTTAAAACTAATTAAACTGGGAAACTTCGTAAAACTCACTCAAGGAAGGTGGTGGTGATAGTGGTGGTGTGGATTAAATGAAGCAAAGATAGAATAGTAAGATAAACGATGTTTTACTAAAAAAAATCATTTTAATTGTCTTTTTAGTTTAGCCAGTTTTTGATTTTCTGTCATTCAATTCTATAAAGAAAAGATGAGAACTTTTATTCTCTTTTTAATTAAAAGTTTGTCAATTTTTACGGTAGATATGAATAAGAACATTTTCCTATATATGATAAGTGTCTTATAGCAACTCACGTGTAATTGAGTTTGTTCTCATTTAATTTGGTTAAACCCTTTTGTTAACTTATTTAGTGGACAAAATCATCCGTACTATATAACAACTTATTTTACCTTTATTATTGGTGTGCTTGTATAAAATATGTCTTCTTGAACATTGCTTACCGCATACGGATATATTCATTCTGCTAGCTTTATTATTAGCTGCTTAATTGGTTCGATGATCCATTCATTTCCTTATACATATACATGTACATATACACTCTACATTCTCGGTTCGCTGACTCACTCATTCGCCTCACTGCTTTATGGTCTGAGTTATCTGCTAATAAATCTGTAGTCGCTGCTTCTCTTTGCCTTCTGATTTCAAACATCGTTGAGGATTATATGATAACGGTTACAAGGGTGATTGGTCAACGAAGCACAGCCACTACAGTCTCTAAATTTGTTATCAAACCATTTTTCAATGTTCTATGTGTGTGTATATATAAGTGTGGTATTTACCACTTTTTCCATTCATTTAGCAGATGAGTGCTCCTTCATAAAGAACATAATGACCACTGAAGATTTCATTTCAAACACTTAATATCACTTGATTTAATTTTTCAATTCAACATGTTGAGATAAGTTACAGTAGCGTGTTCATAGAAGATAGTTTTATAAGACTGAAATCAAATCCACAGTATAAATCATACTGTTATATAATACAAGACCGATTTATTAAATAAACGATGGAATTGTTAAAAAAATACTAGATATATTGTAGTGTCGGTTATTATGTTAAGCCCATATACCTACCTTATTCTAGCTTTCGGACAGCCCATTCTATTAATTCTACTTCAGTCACATTCTGACCTTGTTATTTATTCGCTTATCAATCTTGACTGTTTTTATATGAGCGCATAGGTGTGTGTACATCTCTGATCCCATTGCACATCGTATGTCTGTAACTTACTTTTCTGTAACTATAACTATTGATTAATGCTTGGTTAAATGGGAGTTGGCTAACCTGCCATCTCCACTGCGCGTCGTTTTGCTTTGTTCTATTCCATTCGCTCTATATTCAAAGTATATGTATTCAAAAGTCCATTCTCGTTATTTGACTTATCTAAATCCGTTATTGACTAACACGATTTAAGTCGATGATTATATATGTGGATAGGCGACATATATATTTCAACAACAATCATCATTACAATCACCTTGGCATCAGAACCCGGGCCACTAAAGTGGAGAGCCTTTTCGACATTATCGTCCGATCTAAATGACGACAAAATTCAAGGGCCCCACAATATTACACTTTTATCGAACGTTGAAAAAGGATGGTCAACCTCAATTTTTTCCCACATTTCTGTTTATTTAAACCGTTCGTCCATCTCACCTACTAGATGACTGACTTTTGAGGTACATTGAAAGTACTGGATTAGAAGAGAATATTCACTGTGTTCAGTAACTGATCTCTTATCAATTCTACATTATTTTTTCGAAGAAAATGTATTTTATTAGTCGACAGAATCATGTTGAATGAATAAATTTCATTCGTCATTTGATGCTCTGTTATATAATTTAACTAAGTGATCATAATGGGCCGTGTTTACTATCTAGTTTAGGGTTCTTTTGATAATCTTAATCTGTTAGATTGAAGACGTTGGATGAAATCGCTGAAAAACGATCACAATAGTATGAGTCTATCCATTTATCTCTACTCTTTAGATTATAAATTACTATTATTGTTATTTCATACTTTTTTTATGCCACAAATTCACTATTTCTTCTTAAACCATATTCTGTATTCCGGTTTATTATTATTATTATTGTCATTATCACTGATAATATTCAGTCAGTCAGTCAGCTACAACGTAGTACCAGGCACATATATGTATCGGTCCAAGTTGCCATACCTCATTAACACAACAAGATGAACACCAAATTCATAGAAGTAGTTAATTCAGAGGTGGTAATATATAAAAGAAAGATTGTAATAAGGATATAGTACAGGAAGAAAGAATTAGTTCGTAGAAAGAAAGATATGAAGCGATTTTAATCTCTTAGTTTAAGGGAAGACAGAGAGTGTATACAACCGATAATATTACTAGTTCTGCCATCAGTCAGTCAGTCATAGACAAGGTAGAACTCAAGACATATGTTTATCGATTCGAGATCTTGCAGCCCATCATCACAACCAAATGATATCGTCAGGATAAATGTCAGAGTTATGCCCTATCTATCAACTACTATCTCCCTTATTCACAGCCGAATTTGGCTAAATCCTGTAAAAATGTTGTTTCCTATTTTATAGTACGATGTGGTTTGTCTCGTTGATATATAAACCCAATATATTTGAAATAAATGATTCATATCTCAGATGCTGAGATTGCTGTTCTTGACTTTACTGGCTGGGCTAGGCAGGAAGCAGAACCAATAAGGACCCTAAGCTGATCGTACGTGTCTTATGCGTCATTGGTCCGATAGACAATTACTATTCTGTAATTGGCATTATCATTACGTTATACATTACCAGGGCACACAGGCTACAAGTTATAACAAATAGGATGAGTAAAATTAAGTGTTTTCCTTTTTATATTTTTAAATTAATCATGGTTGAACTTTGAAGAACTTTTTGTAGAACATTCAACAATAATTTTAAACATTTTTTTTATTTTTCTCTATAGAATTTTGTTTCTTATCTGTAACTTCCAATTCATTTACAAGATACACACACTTATTCCATACGATTAACAAACTACTAATAAGAGTAAATAAATGCTAAATGACTATAGAGTTTTAATTGTTGATATCAAATGATAACACTTTGAAGTATAAGCATTTATATATTTGTTCTCTTTGTATTGATTAACAATATATGGATATGAGATTGATTAGATCTATAATCAATTTCAGTTAATTGTGAACCGAATTCATAATGTCTTACTAACCGCTTAACCTTGAAACGGGTACAACTACATGATATCTGAGTTCCGTTTTTAGCATATCAAACAGTTTTGATTAATTCATTTCTCACAGATTTAAATCATGAGTCATTTGAAGCTAGACCACCATTGAAAACCTGAAAGCACTGGATGGCCGTTTCGTCCTAGTACGGGACTCCTCAGCAACACGCGTCCACGGACCCGCACCCCGCGGGATCCGAACCCAGGACCTAATGACTTCGCGTGCGAGCACCTAACCACTAAACTACTGAGCCGGTATCCAACGGTGTTAATGACTAACTTCAACCAATTCGGTTGGTTACCATTATAAACTGCTATCCACTGATGTGTCAAAGGAAAGCGATGAACTGCTTGATACGTTTTGAACTAAAAACTTGATAATATAATAATAATAATAACAACAATAATAATAATAATAATAGAAAAGATTTATAGCTCAAGATGTGGATTCGAAGGTGGTTTTATCCATTTATTTTTTCTAATAGGTAAAGCTTTGTTGTAGCGTTTAACACCTAACCAGTATTCATTTCGTGATGAAAACACTAAATATAATTTTTAATCCTAACTTGTAATTGTAAATACTGGTTCTAATTATTCATAGTAAGTGGCTATCAGGACTCAGTAGCTCAGTGGATAACGCGATGGCGTTTGAAGCGAACGGTACTGGGTTCGAGTATCAGAGTGAACATCAACTCTGAGGTGTACGTAAATCCAGCTAACGAGTCCCGAATAGGACGAAACACGCGTCCTGGATTCCACTGCTAGCCACTATTCATCATTGCTTCTAATGCTTGTACATTAAGGCAATATGCACAGTATGCATATACGCTAATAAGAGAATGATCAATTGCAGTCCTAAACATCAATGCGTAGATTCAAGTTAAATAATACCAACTGTATTGATTTTTAAGCCTAGTTAGACCCTGATTAGTAGATGGATTCTCTCGTGGTCACTTTGACTTGGCTCAATGTCCATTTATAAATTATAGTTCTGTAAGATAGCGTTATATATATACTCTTCATTCAGTTTTATTTATTTTATACCATGTTTTATATCTAGTTTCAAGCAATGCAAAGACATAATGCCGCTTGGCAAGAATCATTACGTTATCGTTTTCCAGAACTTGATCGTCTTGGTGGATTAAAACGTATCACATTGAATGATAATCCAAAAATATGTGATGAAGGCTCTATTCAATTAGCTGATGCATTGATTGATGATCTATGGGTGAAAGCTATTGATTTACAAGCATGTAATCTAAGTGATAGCTCAGCAAGTACATGGTTAGCTGTATTGATTGGATTACGAATAGCTAATGGAAATCAATTGATGACACATGATGAAATACATTTGAAATCAAATAGATCATCTACTATAGATGATCAACATCGTGGAAATCATTCTTTAGTTGTTCTTGATTTACGCAGAAATCCTAATATATGTAAGTACTTGACTATCATTATTTTAACAAAGTTTGAAAAATCCTTTATTTCTCCTATTGTAGATTTTTATATTCTATAGGTGTTTTGTAGTTCTATACCTTTTCTTAATTATACATGCTTTCAGTCTTCTGAACCTTTTTTTAAATCTAGTTGATAATTAACCTTATAACAACACAAGCATTTCGATAGCCATACTCATGACAGTACGAATTTTAGAGGAAATAACAAACTACTTGTAAGTAGTAAAGGTTTAAATCGTAAGTATATTTTATCAAACGGTTGAACGAGTTGGTGGTTATTTAGACTCATTGGCTAGATGGATAACTCATTTTTTTATATTTATATAATACACCCTTGTGGGCCAGGGTAACTTTACGTTGGTTTTCAGGAGAATCAGACAACATCCAGACTTTCACGTAGAAACCCAGACAGTACAGCTCAACCCTGTTTAGCATGGGAACCAGACACCGTACATGCTTTAACGCTACAATCTGAATAGTACAGCTCAATCCTGTGGCACAACCACACAGGTACAAAGCACCCTGATGGACCAAGATGGATAACTCATTAGGCGTTTAACGCATAAGGTTTAACGTTCAAGTCTCAATATGAAAAGCAAAACAGGAATATGACAGGTACATCCGTCTGACAAGTCCTAAATAAGGTGAAACACATGTCCTGGATTCCGCCACTAGCCAATATCGAAATTTACTTAAATATGTTCAATTTGAAATAGTGTGAATTATCCTGTTGTTAATATTTCTTATTGAAATTTGATCAGCCTTGGTTTGCGAATAGCAATCCTTTGCGGATTATCTCGATATATCCATTATGATAAACGTTGATACAAAATAGATGAAATGTGGCTAGCAGTGGAATCCAGGATAATCGTTTCCTCCTATTTGAACTCATCGGCTGAATATATCTGCATGCTAAAGATGATATCCATTCCAAGACCCAAACACAGTACAATTTTTCTATATGCCAACTAAAACAGATGAAATTTTTAAAAAATTTCAATAACGATATAATCCAAACCATTTGAAATTGAATTAAATCTCATACTCGTTACAGAAGTGACAAGCTATATGGACTTAATAGCTAAGTGCATAACGTGATGGCATTTGAACTGGACAGTACTGATTTCGAGTCGTGGATTGAAAACCAACTCAAAAATTCAAGCACATTCAGCCGACGAGTATTAAATAGGATGAATTGTTTGTCTTGCATTTTACCTCTAGCTACATTCCATCTGTTTTATATTATTTTGTATCATAATAGATATATCTAGCTAATCCACTCAGGTTACATATATCTAACAAAAAGTGCTGACCAATTGAAATGCATAAGATCAATAACAGGGAAAAATGAAATTAAACCATCACAATTGATCGATCATTGGGTGGTGATCAGTTTCATGTGTGTCAAGTCCTTAATAATGAAGATAGAATGCTGTCGACCATGTTGCATTGTGGCCACCAATCTGAATGACTTGACATTGTATGCGCTATGTTGAGATTAGATGGTGGTTGAAGGTAGTCGACAGGAAACCCTGGACCCAGGTTTCATGCTACTTGGCACTCGTCAGCAAAGTGTACCTGTAATCTTGAGGGATCGAATCCGTCAGTGAGCACCAGCTCCCTCAAGATTACAGGTACACCTTGTAGACAAGTGCCAGGCAGCACGAAATCCAGGTCCAGGGTTTCCTGTTGACTTTCTCTAACCATCATCTTATCTCGAAGTTAAACCATATTACGTTTATTCTTTCCATAGAAACATAATGTTTCATCTTTAGAATTAATGAAAAAAGGTTCACCTGATTACTTATCATAGTCCTTTCTTATTTACTTAAAAATTATTTAGTTTTTCATATTGTTTTACTTCTCTTTTCATCCTTTTCTTTTCTAGTCTCTTTTTTTTTCTTTTTATCTCACCACTTGATTTCACTTTGATTTCAATAAATTAGTCCATTTTAAGCTTCTATGAAGTAATCCTCATTAATTTATTTTTTACTCCTGTAATAAACTTGAAAAAAAAAATAAATAAAAGAAGAAAGAAAACAGATTCTGTTGCCAACTCATATCTCCCCCCTCCCTCATATTCTATTGTTCCTTAAATTCTATCCAGAATTTTATCTTTTTTTTTAACCATCCCTTACACTAAATATACTTCATATTCACTATGAATCAAGTTTGTTTTAGTTTTTAACAATTTACAAGAACAAACAAATTTGAAGTATAATTAATGAATCAAAACAACGATGAACAAATTTCATTTCTGAATTGTTTTTGCCAGCTAATTTATTTTACATACATTTTAATAGAAATATGGTATAATGCACTTCAATGTTTAATTCACTTGAATACTATACGTTAATTTGATTTTCTAAATCAAGAATTCAGATAATAAGAAGATTTTGATGTTTATTTTTCTTCTGTTTTGTTTTGTTAAACATTTATAGATGAAGTTTGAGCAAGAGATGTTCAGTAAGAATATAAAATAAGATATGAAATGAGTTTGTATCATTATAGACTACTATTCAACTTGTAAACGTCCACAATCATAGGCTTAGGATAGAATCTAGGCATCTTTAGATTTTATAGTAATCATATGACTATTAAGTTATTATACACTGGATCTCGTTTTCAATTTGATTTAGTTCATAAAATAGATAGTGTTATTGCTGAACAAAAAATGGATATGATGTGATATAAGGAAGGAGGCATGATGGGGCATAATTTATGAACGAACTAATCAGATTTCAGATAGTGTATCTTGGATTTTGGTGTGAAACTCATCTATCCATTTTTAACAAGTTAACATTCTAATATTGTAATTGATGTCATTTCATGATGTAAACCAAGACTTACTCTAACTTCCAACTCTTAATTGAAATACTAATTCCTCACATTAATTGACAACCGTATTTTGACCTTACTGTGTGACTGAAGTATCTCAAGACCACCTTAGCATCTATTAAAGATCGTCCATAAATTAAAATCAATCAAAAAGGTAATGACAACAGATGAGGATTTACCATACACCAATAATAAATGAGAAGATTCTGTCTCAACATACTGATTTTTACGTTTTATTAATACTAGTTAAGTCAATTTAGCAATACATTAGAGTGGTACTCACCTCTGATAATTTGCTGAATAAACACAGTTTTCAATTTAAACAAATATAATTAATTGCTGGGTTTGTCTAATCCATGACAAACTGTGATTAGCTGGTGAATGCGAACAAACATTTGTTTGTGTAATTCTTAATTTTCACAGGTTGAAATCATGAGTCAGTTGAAGCTAGACCACCATTGAAAACCTGGAAGCACTGGATGGCCGTTTCGTTCTATTGTGGAACTCCTCAGCAGTGTGCATTCACGACCTCGCCCCCTGCGAGATTCGCACCCAGGACCTACTGTTTTCGCGCTCGAGTACTTAACCAATAGACCACTGAGCCGGTATCCAACGGTGTTAATGTCTAACTTCAACCAATCCACGAAGTTGCGCCACCATATACCATTGTCTTCAGTGAGCGGGATCGTGGATGCGCACTACTGAGGAGTCCCATACTAGGACGAAACGGCCGTCCATTGCTTCCAGGTTTTCAGTGGTGGTCTAGCTTCAACTGACTCATGATTTCAATCTGTGAAAATTTCTAAAATCTCCACAAACCCCTTCTGATAATTCATAATTGTTTTTCTAACCTTGTTAGGCGTGAATAAATGTGTTAATCTAGCTGGTAACAAATGTTGATTACAATGGATTTAACATGTTAATGATTAGTTTAGTATTAAGGCGTGAGATTCTCTTACGTTATCTAGAATCGTCCTTCTTGTTTGACCTAGGTACCTAGCATTATATCTGCCTTCTGGGAAAAAAAAACCCAATACTACATAACTAATCTACTGAGTTACGTTACAAACTGATTTGAGCTACTTTGTGGAAGTGATGATTATAATCACTGAGTTTATTTCAAATATAATTTTATATCTGATATCTATGGCATACTTGGTGACCAACTTCTGTCAAATTTTTTATTACAATTCTGATGAATGTCTATGTAACTTATGTTACAGTCAAACTAGATCTTTCTTCATTGTCATATTTATGTGATATCTTCCTTAAGTGTCAGGGATTTGATGGCACAAATCAGTATCTTTGTTTGCTAGGGTTTCGTATATTCTTGTCAAACTCAATAAGATATATGATGCCTCTGGATGTGCTAAGCATGTATCTAGTCTGTGAATTGGTTTCAAATTTATAAGTTAACTTCTGATCAGTTGATTTCTCATCGATTTGATAATGGTAAATACGACTGATTATTTTCTTAACTCGTTCGATAAATTGTTATTGAATAAGTGTACTATACGTTCTAACGATCTTCATAAACTCCGTATGCTAGTAACTATCACTTACCTATGAGTAACTAATTCCGAGAGATACATGAAAATTGTTAGTAAGAAGCCATGACCAGTGGAGTTCAGCCATGTCATTTGTGAGACAGTTAAACACCAATGAGATCATAATCTAATTGTACAATATCATGAATTGATTAAAATCAAACATATAAACCTTTGAACTTTAACTCAGAGGTCTAAACCTAAAGTGTTTGCTGCGGAACCTAAAGATTTTGAGTTCAATCCTTGTTGAGCTAGTGAATATTCACTACTGAGGAGTCCTATACTAGCACGAAAGAGCTATTCAATGGTTGTCTAACTAGGATTAATCTGTGATGTAGACTATAAAAGTAAGAATGAATTTACTAACTCCATTGTAATCATTTTGTTTAATAAGTAATCTTTGTTTTCTGACATTTCATACTGATTTAGTACATTTGTATTGTCTCACTATTTTAAACTTGTTTTTCACATATTCTACTCATTTTAAGCTCGTGATCTATTACGTGCTGTAACAGAAAGGGCACTTATCAACTCCGAGGGTAAACAGACTGAAGTAAGTTAGATCACATAAATATGATCATATGTGTAATTATTTCACATTGTAAATTTATTGTGTATTCCAATTTGGACAAAACAGTTTTTCTGTCTTATAAGCAAAGATGGATATTGGCTAGCAGTGAAATCCAGGACGCGCGTTTCGTCCTGTACCTGCATCTCAGAGTTAATGTTCACTCTAGGACTCGATCAATTTCAGTCCTAAAAACATCAATGGGAAGATTCAAGTAAAACAATATCAAGTTTTTCTGTATTATTATTTTTTTAAAACGGTTATCCACATGATGTCAGTTCTTGATGAATATGCACAAATGTATTGTTCAATTACTGAATGGTGGCCAATTTCATGTCTATCTATAATCCTCTTTAATACTGATCGAATTTTATCGGTCCAGTTGCAATGTGACTACTATTTTAATTAACTCAATAGTGATAATTGCACTTGTTAGGGTGATATCCAGAAAATTGCCTTCAAGAGAAAAGAAAGCATCAGGAAACACTAAGAAGCGTTTCATCTAATCAGCGTTCAATTGAAGTCTTAGCCAAAAATATCAAGGAAGCGAAACGTCACATGCAGAGGCTTTGATTAGTTGCCTGCTACAGTGCTACTATGTTTAGTAGCATTCCAGAATCTGCTAGCAACCCGAAGACATTTAAAATATTATAAAAACCCTGTATGTTCTGTATTAAAATGAATCTTGGAGTAAACTATTTCTCGCATACTTCGCGTCTCCTCTCTCGTGTTCAGGTCGCTGTATAGTTCTAGCTTGGGGGTTACCGAATAGCTTAGGAGAAAAATATAGCGTTCAATCCGCAAGACATATCAGCACTATGTTTTTTTATAGTAAGGAAATAAAGGTAGTCGATAGGTAAATCTGAAACTCAAGTTAAATTAAAGAAACAGACAAATGTGTAATTGATAATTATTTAATAATCAATCATTTATAAATTTCTCAATCCTACAGAACACTCTAAGGGCCGAATAGCTTAGTTGTAACTTTACACACTGTGAGACTGGATAACCCAGGTTCGAATCCACCTGTTAATATCAGTTCCTTGAAGATTCTAGAGACAATTCGAAAGCGATATATTGGTTGGAAATAAAATACATCTACACTGTTTTTACAGTTTATTCAAAATGTAAGGGTCATTTTTCGACGGATTTACCATATATATGTATGGTTTGAAGCGACTGGTAATTAGATAACTTGTAGTCAAGTGCATTCATTTACTCGCAATGACCATTTCTTGCTTATTTGAATATACTGTGAGACTATAATTTATAGATGAACCCATTCGATTTAAGATATAGAGAATCCTGAATTTCGATGTAAAATTCATTCATCTATATGGCTATTTTGACATGTCAGTTTGTAATGAAAACCCTAACTGTAATTGCAAATCCCAATTCTAATTACTCACAGTAATTTATAACCCTGTTTTTAGATCTTAATTAGTAGTTGTATTTTCTCATTGTCATTTTGACTTCGCTCACCGTTCATTCATAAATCATAGTCTCACCGAATGTACTAACTGTAATAAACAACAGCACCATAAATACCGCAGCTACAAATTTACTACACAAAACAAAGAACCAGTACTTCATCTAGTTTTTCTTCTCCTAACTACTAAACATTGGACAAACAGTACCGACAGTTAGCACTAGGGGCTAAATAAATAATGACATAAACAAAAGTATATTGAATCCAAAAGTGTTATGACAAACTTAGTATACAATTGTTTAGATAATGGTAACTGATTTGAGTTGTTAGAACAATTTATTTATGGTGACAGATTTAGTTTATAGATTATATTTTTAACAGATTGATGTCATTTGAGATATTATAGAAAATTAACCAGCAATTGACAGCTTTTTTGTCCTAGTTTAGGACTCTTCATCAGTTCTCCTCGACAGCTCTATCCAGTGATCGAACCTAGGATCTTTAGGTTTCTGACCCAGTGTTCAGTGGTATATATATATATATATATATATATATATATATATATATATATATATATATATATATATATATATATATATATATATATCAAATTTCAATCAGTTTTTGGCATATCACGTCGATTAAATCATATGATTGATGATAATTTTTTTGATTTCCTACATTTTTTGAACTTTACCAATGATATCTCTTTAACAATTGAAAGCAATCATTCTTTTTCATATCCTTTACTTTTAACATATCAATCATTCTCGTCTATTGTTTCAATATACTTTAAACAGTTTAGTTGGTTAAAAGCTGGCTCACAAACTCCATCACAATTATGCTCTGGTGTAACAACTTATCCATGGCCAGGTTTAACTGATATGTCAAATCCAATTCCTGGCATTGATCCAATAAATCCATTCAACAAATCTGTGAAATCATCAAATTCTTATCGTGCAAGATCAAAATCAAATAATTCTTTGCATTATCATGAGAAAACTGTTAATTCTGATGATAAAAATGTATGTATATATCATAGAAATAACTTATCTGATAGACCACCGTTTATAGTAAGTTCATTTACATTTCTAACATTTAAATTCACTTGGTGTTGTTTACTTGTATCTTCCCCTTGAAAACTGCAATTGATCAATCTCTCGTTAGCATATATGCATTCTGTGCGGACTGCCTAAATATTGCCTTAGGTAACAATCTTTATAATTAAAGATGAATAGTGGCCAGAAATGGAATCCAATTTGACGAGTGTTTCGTCCCATTTAGGACTCGTCGGCTGGATGTACCTGAATATCAGAGTTGATGTTCACCCTGGGATTCGAACCCAGTACTGTTCTCTTCAAACGCTATCGTGTTATTCACTTAACTACTGAGTTCTAACATTTGTAATTTCTTAATTAAGAAATTTTTTTTCGAATTTGATTAGGTCATTAGCGGAAAATAGTTTTGTTAGGAAAGTTTTATGGAGATTAATTTAAATTTTAAATTGTATTCATAAAAGATTGATTTTATCTGAGGTACTAATAAAGACTAGTAAGAACTGAATCCTGCGAGCGGGGTCGTGGATGCGAACTGCTGAGGAGTCCCACAATAGGACGAAACAGCCGTCCAGTGCTTCCAGGTTTCCAACGGTGGTCTAACATGAATTGGTTTATTATCTCAATCAAAGAACCGGATGACTGACGTGCTATATCATGAATTGATCGAAGTTGAAAATATGCCATTAATAACAGTCAAGGCTATAAGTGAGTAACTGATATGCTCGAAATATGTTAGGATAATAACTTAAGAAGAATAAATTAATTGATCTGTTCGAAAGCCAAATTAACCCATGTAACTGTGACATTATACTAGACTCTAAAAACTAAGCAAGACCATTCTGTAAATAAAATCAATGAAATTGTTACTCGGAGTTCTAATGAGAAGCTGTGACCAGTGGAGATAATCCGTGTGGTGTAGAGACAGGTATCTGCCTCATTACGATGGAAGATGGTCGCGCAATTTCACGGAGTGGTTGATGTTAGATGTTAACATCGTTGGATGCCGACTCACTGGTTTAGAGGTCATCAATTCAAACTAGAAAGCTTTAAAGTTGCAAGTTATGTACAAAATATAACAAATGTGATACAACACAAATTATGAGATGTGTAATAACCTCAACTATAGTTACTATTAACGAAATTCACCGAATACAAGAGATCTTAAATGATTTTAAGAATTACAAAGAGAGCTGGTAAACAGTTGGAACCGAATTATCAGGAAATAGTAAGTATCTAAAATAAGAAATGCATGAATTCAGGATTTAAAGATTGGAGTGACCTTGACTAGATCTCACAATGTCTAGGTCATCCCTGAAGATTAACAAATCATAAGGTAATCTAATTGTAGTAAGAAATTGAATCAAAAAGGGTTAATCAAGAATAATTGAAGAACAAACGATAATCAATATAAAGATGGGGACTGTATGTACAAAATCTATATATGCAAAATTATAAAATATATGAGGATTCAGGAGATATTTGACAATTACTACTTGTATACTGTTTTTATTTAACTAATGAACGTTTTCAAACTGATCAGTTGTGAATCTTTCTTGAAATGAAAAAGGCAAACTATACAGGATGCACAGATGCCAATAACAGACTAATCAATTACAGTCCTAAACATTCATAGGGAAATTCAAACAACCAATATAATATCGTGGATGCGCACTGCTGAGGAGTCCCATACTAAGACGAAACGGCCGTCCAGTGCTTCCAGGTTTACCACTGTGGTCTAGCTTCAATTGACTCATGATTTCAACCAGTGAAATTTCTAAAAATCTTCACAAAACCCATTCTGATAATAATAATCACCTGCTCACTAGTGTTTGACTTCAGGAGACACTCTTGGAGTTCTAGTGAGAAGTCATTACCAGTGGAGTTCAACCAGGTTTGTTGTGAGATAGGAACTCACTGAAGACAATGTTGTACGGTGGCGCAACTTCGTAATATCCTATTCATTTATCTATCAAGATTACAGATAATCGATTTCTTCCATTAGAATTATTTATGACCTTAAAAAGTTATCCCATAGATTGTGATTACATCATCTGTATAATACAAAACTTATTGGATAGTCGATAATGGTAATTAATTACGTCAGATATAACTCCGTACTATTGAACTATTCCAAAACTATATGAAAAGATCAGTGAAGCAAACTTATTGAGCGTAGTTTGTTTTTTGTTTTTTTTTCCTTGAAAACTTCTCTTGTTTACGTCATTCCATGATTTTACAATCATTTCTCTTATTCAATTAAATTAAATCTTTCAACCTTAACAATAAAATGTAATAGATGAACATACATCTTCCATATTTCATTCATTCTATAATACAATTGTAAATGTTTATTTGTAGTGAAAGAAGAATAGAAAAGAGAACAACTTGCCAATTTTGTTTTTCTTATTCTCATTTTCCCTCTGAGGGATACACGTCTAATTACCAAGAGGAAAAACCAAAAAAAAAGACTGATCAAAATGAGAGTAAAAAAAATAATCAACTGCTGATGTTCTATTCTTTAAAATGACTGTTACTTACATCCTTGTCGGAATGAAATTTTTGTTGAGTTTAGTTTGATTTTTTGAAGAAGAAGAAGTAAAAAAACCTGATTGTCATTTTATCATTCTGTTCTCTCTCTCGATCTCCTAACTATACTTTATTCAAAGACAAAGATCTAATGTCTTCAATGATTGTGTGTACATTGTGTATGTCTGCTTGTGTGATAAGTGTGTGTGTGAGCACCTCAGCGAACAAGAAGTGAAGAGAGATTGAGAGAATACCAGCCAACGCACAAACATACATATATACACACATATATATCATCAGTAGTACATTACTTTTTATTGTTGTCATGTGCACTAACACACACCTGTGAACAAGTGAAACAGGTGAGCAGAGATGAGCAGAAATAAGAACTACACACATAGATAAGTATATACAGGCAATTAGGGTAGGATATTGAATCAAATCAAAAGTTCATAATTTACATAATCAGCCTATTTATTATTCCCCCCCCCGTCCCTCCCCCCCAAAAATATGTGAACACATTATTCTTTTGGGAGAAAGATAGTTTCATTTCTTATTGATTATTTTTCTTTTCAAGAAAGTTATCTATTTTAATCACTTTCACAACATGTCATTATTTATTATATTGAAATTTGAACTATTCAACTAGTCAAGTGATATTGTATTGTTGTTATGACAATTCTTAACGATGCATAACCACAATTTTGTAAAGGGATTGAATCCTGGAATATTAGGTTCTAGGGTGTGTCATATAACATTTAATCACAGAGTTTTAATTAAATAACATAGAATTTTAAAGTCAAGAAACTTACAGTATGAGTGACCTACAGTTTCTAAAAGTCAAGAATTGGCAGTGAAATCTGATGGTTCAGGGTACGATCCTTATCGTAGAGATCGGTGCTCACTGCTGGAGAATTGAATTACAGTACGAAACAGCTGTTGATTGCTTCATGATTTTCAATGGAACTCAGAAAGAGATTAAATTGTGACGAATAACTCAGGTATCAGGTATCGTAATCAAATAGCCTAGAAACAATGAATTTATTGTTCAAAATCCAGTGTTAAACATCATCACAAATATTTTGGTTTATGTAGTTAATGCATTTAGTCCTTAGTTATTATGTAAAATTTGATATAATGAATATTTACTTCTACTTTCTCTTAAATCTGTTTTTTAGCCTGCTGGCGGTCGACCAAGATGCCGTAGTGCGGATCCTGCACATTATCTAGATCATAGAATACATCATAAATGTAATGTAGACTTACATAAGAAGTGTAATCGTCATTTACATTGTTCTGATTCTGGGCACCCTTTAAGTGAACGAGCAGTATGGAAACCACCTGGTGTGGCTAAAACTAATCAAAATGTATATTATAGTCGACCAACTACTCCATTATCAAGTCAAACAAGTTTTACTTCAGGAATACCGTGGAGAACTGCCGCAAGAGCATCACGCTGTCGGTAAGATTCATGTATTTATTCATTCTTTTTTTATTTTGAATATACCATAAATAACCATCAGTCAGTCGACCATAGATAACGTAGTATAAACCTGTGTTTTAATCCAAGTCACTTCATAGCTTAGTCAACATAACGAAGGGAAAATCTTGACAATCCGGGAGTCGGACATAAACGAGGATGAAGGGAAATTAAAGCTGAAGAGGAGCAGACTAATCACTGAGTTGTAACCAATGTCATGTTTATTCAGTTCCTATTTCTAATCAAATTCTACTGATCACATTTCAATGTAGTTGTCAGTGTCTAAGTGACTTGATATCATGTACAGTAAGTTTCGATATTAAGTAGTTGGAAGTACTTATTTACTAACGCCTGTTACCCCTCGTGCGAGGAGCATAGGCTGCTCAACAGCATTCTTCATCTAACCCTGTATTGGGCAATCCTTTCCAGTTGTTTCCAGTTGCGATTGATCCTTTTCATGTCTGCTTCCCATTCTCGACACAGTGTAATCTTTAGTCTTCCTCTCTCCCGTTTCCCTTCAGGATTCCAAGTTGGCGCATGCCTCGTGATGCAGTTTGATACTTTTCACAATGTATGTCTTATCCACTTCTAATGTCTTTTCCTAACTTCCTCTTCAGCTGCAAGTTTGTTTGTTCTCTTCCACAGTAGACTGTAGCTGATTATATCCGGCCAACGGACAGTATACAAACCTATAAACCTAGGTTTCAAACTGGTTGACCCTTATTATATTCCAATCACTCGTCTTATTTACTTGATGAGTGTCTACTAACAAGTAATCTAGGTCTTGGATTTCCTACCGTCTATTTCCAATTACCAAACAGAAACGATGGTATATCGATATATTACGCCCTGAAATGGTGACTCAGTTTTAAGTCTTCTAATTTTGAAAACAATTGACTGACAAATTTATTTGATCCTTTTTCATAAAGGCTAGATAAACATGAGGGCCGGTATGTTTTCTTGATATTTGTAAACTCAATCATTCATTTGAAACACTGCTGTTTAATATTTCTTAAATTAGATTACAAAACATACTGTCTACTCTCAATCATTAATAAAAATAGTTGTTTCTATCTAATCATATAGAAAATCATTTATGATTTAACGGTAATGCTTGCTAACTATAGTCCTGGATAGTGAATCTTGACAAGTATGAAACTCGATTCAAGTTGATCTTTCTACTGCATAATCTCGAACATATCTAGACTTACTAAGTTAGTTATCCTTTTCATCATGTGGCAGTTTCTAATAAGCTCTTTATTACGGTTTGAATGATTAATAAATGCGAACTGTATTGTTAAAAGTTCACTACTTGTCGAGTTGTTCTCTATCCTGACTAAAGGGCGAGTGAGCAAACGTAGGAATTTACATTCTAGACCAATAATCATTTAACGTCACACTCGGCTGTTATCTCACATTTAGCGTGTCATTAGTTAGCCGTAGGTCATTCAAACTAGATAGACGGTTTAGAGGAGCAAATCAATACTTGAACTTAATCAATAAATTTGCTCTCCTGTCTAACTGCCTCAGATAAACTATACAAAGATATCTGTTTATTTTCACCAAAGTACAAACATGAATATCTACCATTTATAACCTTGTTTTTTTTCTTTTTCTTAATCATAGAGGCTATCCAGACTTTCACTGTCCAGGTAAAACATGTCTTGAATCACGTGCTTTACATTTGGATTATAATCTTGTCAATAAACAATCATCAAATGTTAATAATATAAATCAGAATATCAATAAATCTGTTATTCTTCCATGTGCAAAAACGTTGAATAAAGTTATCACTGATGGATGTCATTGCCAACATCATCGTCAACCACAAACACAACAACAACAACAACAGCGTCTTGGGCATAACCGACAAAATCCAACATATCAAAAATCATGTTCAATGAACAATTCCAGAATAAGTTCCCCAGAATTATCAGGGATGAATTTTCAGCATAAATTAAAACAGCTTATGGTAGGTTAATATTTGACGACATTTTTCTCATAGTTAAATTAATTGATATTTTATTTTGTATTATGCATCGAATGGTTTAAGTTGTTTGTTCTAGTTAGCGTTTTTTTAGCAGGGTTGTGTTCTACGGGATTGTGTTGCTGACCCCATGCCCAACCCTTCTCCTTTACCCGGACTTGGGACCGGCTGTAACTCTAGAAGAGCTACAGGTGGATTTAAATTTGATCGGTTTGTTCATAAATGATGGTCTTGCCAAACTTCTATTTTCATTCTTGAACAATCGAAAAGCAAAGGGTAAAGTGATGCACAAACACGCTATTGGATACTGATTGACTATAATAACATTTCAACTAAATATGACATTTCTTTTTGTGTTCTTGGCGGTTGTTGGTTTGTTTTAGTCACCCTTTTCCTTCAAAGTTAGTTCTCATTTTTTTATTCTTGCATTCTCGTCATATAAAGTAAACACAAACAATAACACAGTGAAACATTGAACAATGAATGAGTATGCTGAATGTTCAACACTGAAGAGAGTTTTTTTGTAATATGTGGTAAATAAGTGTTTATATAATAATAATTAAGTGTTTAACTGTGATTTGTATGCCCAACCTAACGACATTGTTTATGAGTGTATGCGAACTATTCATAAAATAACGATTGCTCAAATCGAAACGGATTCAGAAAGCTGCTTTGGATTTGTCAGCTTATGGTGTAGGTGAAATATCTGTCTGCTAACCAAAGAATAAATATACCGTACAACAGTTCATCTTTTTTTCATAACTACAAAACATGATCTTTAGGACATAGTTGGATGGAGAATGCTGGTAAGCAGCCTATGCTCCTCCACGAGGGGTAGTACGCGTAAGTAATGTATTGAAGAGTTCCATAATAGTTCCTGTCATATATCAACACATTTAAACTATGGAATGTTAAACAACTTAGTTATACGATCGTTTTGTGGAATCCTTCATGACTACTTAAAATAGATCTTGGGTTGAGAGAAATTTAAGAGCAGCCAAATCGAAACATGAAATCAATACAGGAGGTTAATAACTGTTAATTTAATCAACCCATCTTAATAGATCCAGACTGTTTGAATTTATTCGGAGCGATAACTGCGATCAATGGTTGGAGATGTTGGGTGGCATGACTCAGAATCGTTCATAATAGCGTATATGCATTTATCCTTTATTTTAACACCTGTACTCCTTCATATATACCTTGATAGTCTATTTTCTCAAACTGTATTTTTAATATTCAGTCTTTCTCATTATTATTGTTTCTACACATTATTCCAATCTCTTTTCTTGTTTACCATCTTGTGCTATGACAACTTGAACGAGCATGCCTATCTACCAGGCTCTATGGTAACGATGACTAACCAACTATTCTGAACTTATATCTTAAGGTCTTACAAGAAACAGCATTTTATCTCTATATTGTACTTACTGACCATTAACTATAGATTTGTATCACACAACTTGACGCTTATTATTTACTAATATGGTAGGTTATTTTTGGTCATGAAATGTGTTGGGATGTTCAGAAAAATATCCCAAAAATTATCCTGTTAAGTCTAACGTTATCCTTGGACTTGAGATGGTATCATTTTCTTATTGGTCAATATTTATTTCACCTGTCGTCTTCCTGCTAGTCAATATTGTACAATGTTATTTTCTATTTTATGGTGCATTGTGGTCTGTCTGGTTGATATATAAACAGAGTATGTTAGAAATATAATGATTCATATCTCAGAGGCTGAGACTTGCGTTCTGGACTCAACTAGCTGGTCTAGATAGGGAAGCGAGGCCAATCAGAACTCTAGACTGTTCTTACCTGTTTGCACGTCTTTGGTCCGATCGATAATTCGCTTCGCTCTAATCTGCAAGTCACAACAAAATGTTTATTTGATTTTGCGAAATTCAGAACTTTCTTTAGTGTAATGTTCTAGATAACTGACTCCCTTTTTTTACTAAACTTATTTGTTTTATCTTAGGATCCTCCGCACCATGTACCTGTTCACTAGTTTTACCAGAGATAGAACTCGGAACATTCAGTTATCTTGATAAGCGAGAATATTACCGAGTTAATTATTATTATTATTATTAACATATTCTTTTTATTTTTACATATTAGACGAAAGTATCACAACTTGAAAAAGATTTACAAACTGAAAAACAGAAATCTGATCGGTTATTGAAAAATCGTCAGGTATGCATATTTCATATTTTTGTTGTCTTCATCAGTACAACAACACATACTGAATTGCCAGAAAAATCAATAAATATCTACAACGAGATTTACTGTAAATTTATTCTTTGAATTGCTAAAATATTAAAGTTAGTTTACATATGGGTAGTAGTAGCCGATACTAAATAAATTTATCTCTTCAGTGTAGAATGATTCATTAAAAAGGCACAGATACATGTACTAGCTCACAAGCTACACAATAAAATGTGCTACTGATACTATTGAGATTTAGATGGTGGTTGGAGGTAGTCAACAGAAAACCCTGGACCCGGGTTTCGTCCTATTTGGAACTCGTCGCTAGTTGGATGTACCTGCATCCTAGAGTTGGTGTTCACCCCATTGCACAAGCTAGTGGCTGTCTGGATTCAGTAGCTAAGTGGATAATTTGATAGCGTTTGAAACGAATGGTAGTGAGTTTGAGTGCCAGAGTGAACATCAACTCTGGGATGGAACGAAACGTACATCTTGGATTTCACTGCTAGTTACCATCCATCTCTAATTATAACTCTTGTGATTTAGGGCAATATCTAGGCAATCCGCACAGGATGCACATCTACCAATAAGAGACTGATTAACTGTAATCCTAAACATCAAGTGGAAGATTCAAACAACCAATACAAAGTATCTTATTATCATTTCAGTAAAAGTGGTTTGTAGAGATTGTTGATTTATATACGGTATATCACGAACTGATCTTAGTTAGATAACCAAGGGAGGTTTAACCCAGGAGCTTCAGGTTTCGTGGAATTCGCTTGATATTTATTCCACTGAGTTGACATCATATTTTATGACATTTCTAATTTAATTCAGTTCGCGTTATTTTGAAACAAACTTTTAATTCCATTGGTGACTAACTACTTCGTACTCAGTACGGTTGAACTCCACTGACTATGACTTCTCATTAGAACTCCTGGAATAGCCAATCAAAATCAGTCATTAGTAGGTACATAAATATTCTTATTATTTTTTTCCAAACCACCAAGTGTTTATGATTAATTATTCAATATGAACTGATTCTGATTCTCTTCTCTCTTCGTTGTAATATTCATTTTTAGTTTGTTCAACAAGAGAATGAATCCAAGCATCTATTTCAAATTGATCAAAATTCAATCCATCAATTGAGAAACTTTATTTGTCGTTTGACAAATATGATTGAAACTCTTCAAAATTCCAAGTATGTTTAATATATATGTATAATTTGTGTAAGACATCGAACTGGTAAAACCATTGACTTGAAAGCCGCAACTTTAAGTAGTATATCAGCAACATCTTGAAAGACTCTAAAATGTAGTCAGGATTCTTTCAATATTACACTTTAGATTATATAGATAGATAAATGAACACAGATTGGTAGTGTGGCGACGTGATCTACCACCATTGATAACTATAGACACCACTTTGACTGAATGAACGTCAAAAGTTTGAATCGGCGGAACTCTAGAAATGTTAGGGGATTTTTAAAAGCATGGGATTCAGATTAATTATTGATCAACAGGCACATTTATGAATTCGTACAGAAGAAGTCAATCAATCACAATGCCAGAGGTTAACCAAAAAAAAATAGCTAACGTGAATGAAACGGTAAATGGAGACAATGAAACCTATGAAGACAACCAAGCACGATCAAAGCCGTCAAAATGAATCAGTATGATACATGTGGAATAACTAAAAGGCTCAATTCTGCACGAATTAGAAGCTGAAGATATTGTTCAGAATGACAATGAGAGCTCCATAATTCAGCCATATTAATCGGAGAACTCAACACTATCTAACCATATATGTATAATTCAAATTCACTAGTTCCTAATATAAATATCATTCATTATTCTTTCATGAAATCTGATTCGAAGTTCATTTTCTGCACGTACTGATATTAGCTTAAACGATAATAATTAAAACAATAATGCGAACCTTATTCAACACAATGAATTTTGTCACATTAAGAAACGGAATTCGTAACATCGATTATGTAATATTTTATTCAATCTTTACTTAACGTACGTTCCAGTTGTAATTATTGAAAAATATATTTATATAAGCTATATGGCTATGTAGAGCTGAAGGTCTCATATGAAACTAGAGGTTAGCCAGTGGTATTGTGGATGGTTCGGCATTGCTTTGGCAAGTTTTGCTGACTGTTCATGCACAAAATTGGTTTGCTGGTTAACCGATTTCATTCATACTGGTGTTTGCTTTTCAGTGTTCCAGAGGTCCAAAGTCATTGGGACATTGTAAGGCATGTCGTCATTGATAACATTAATGAGTTTGACTGTCGTGTAAGAGGATTAGGTCAACTTTGGCCTGTCCGTGCTGTGCATCATTGATTCGCGCAATCATTGATCGGAATAACTATACATGTGATGTGAATGTGTATATGAATGCTGCGAATGGTCCACCAGGGTGCTTGGTACCTGTGTGGTTGCGCCACAGGAGTAAGCTGTACTATTCAGATTGTAGCGTTAAAGCCTATACGGTGTCTGGTTCTCCTGTGAAGCGGGATTGAGCTGTACTGCTAGGGTAATAAAAGTTAAGCCTGGGTGGTGTCTGGCTCTCTTGTTAAACGGGATTGAGCTGTACTGTTTGGGTCACGTGTAAATCTGGATGGTGTCTGGTTCTCCTGAAAACCAATGTAAAATTACCCGGGCCCACAATGGTATATTGTATAACTATAAGTGTAATTACATGTATTCTCTACCAGTTCACTTGCAACACTAATGTATTCCCATCTGACATCATTTATGAGACGGATAAAAGTGTAGCATATTGATGGCCTTAAGTTAACCCATCAGAATTAAGATAATACCTCAATTATTTTGTACAATGTTTAAAGTGAAGTGATAGATAACTTGTATGTTACTATCAATTAAATGAAAATTGGCAGTATTTAGTTCTTGAAATATCTGAAACCACCAAGAATTTCTGCCATGCAACCAAAAAGTGAATTTTAAATTATACTTAAAGTGAATTACAAAACATACCTATTCCTAAGGCAGACTATGTTTTAAAGAAGTTAATTCAATATGCGTTCAAAAATGTTTAGTGAAGCTAGATACTATTCTCTCTTTCTCACTCACGTATAGTATTGGTCCACAAATGTATCCAGAAAATTACCACTCATTATTCTTATTGGGGCATAACATAGAGTAGGTCAACTTTTTCTTAAAGTTTTTGATTGAGATCATGAACCGATTGATGTTAGACCACCTTTGGAAACCTAGAAGCACTGGACGGTCGTCTTATCCTGTCGTGGGATTACTCAGCAGTGCGCATCTATGATCCCGCTAGCGGGATTCGAACCTAGAGCCTTTGGTCTCGCGCGCAAACACTTAACCTACTGGACCACTGAGCCGGCATTCAATGGTGATAGTGTCTAACATTAACCGTTCCACAAAATTGCTCGACCATCTTCCATTGTACTGAGGTAGATACCTCTCCCTACCCGACATGGATTAGCTCCACTGGTCACGGCTTCTCAATAGAACTCTAAGAATTCCCTCACGAAGATAGTCACTAGTGAGCACATGTTGGTCACTAGTATAGAGGTTGTGGAGATTATTAAGTTTTTGATTGAGATCATGAACTGATTGATGTTAGACCACCTTTTTTTAAAAATTAATTTCACAATATAATTAAAATCTCCTAATAATTCTAGGAATAAATCTAATATATCCAATGATGAATTGAACATTTTACAAGATACATTTGAACAATTATGCTCTCTTATTAGTCGTATTACAGAAGAAGAAAATGTTAACAAAAAACATTCTTCTACTTATTATCATGAAATAAGTAGTAATAAAATGAATAAAGAAGAAAATAAAATTGAGAAAAGTATAAATCATATGAAACATAAATCTATTAGAAACAATCATGAAAAATCTAATACTAAACAAATAAAAGGGCATATTCAATGGAAAACGATTGCTAAAACACGTGCTGTACAAACGGAGAATCCGCAGAATTCAATTAAAACTAATGAAAAGATAATAATTGATAATAAAAATAGTAAGCAACATGTAAGTTCTTCTTAATTCTATTGTATCATTACATAATGGATGAATGTTTAAAGATAACAATGAAAGTTACTTGGTTAGTGTTTTTTAGCGAGTTAGTTTTCTACCGGATGGGGTCGCTAACCCCATGCCCATCCCTCCTCCTTTATCCGAGCTTGGGACCGGCAGTAGCCCTCGGAGGGACTCCAGGCGGAGTTAATAATGAAAGTTAAAGACTATTGAGTTAGTCCATTTTCCTTTATTTTTTGTTTTGAACCACTCTAAATCTAAAACTTCATTGTCCGGTTTGTTTCTTAAGATTGATTCGAACGAGTTTGTGATAATTTCTTATGAAAAACAATACAAGTTCTTATCAAAAAGGGTTTTGTGGAGATTATAATAATTTCAATAATTGAAATCATGAGTCAATTGAAGCTAAACCACCATGGAAAAACTGGAAGCACTAGAAGGCTGTTTCGTCTTATTGTGGGACTTATCAGCACTGATAGATCCTGGGTTCGAATCCCGCGAGGTGTGGTCGTGGGTGCACACTGCTGAGGAATCCCACAATAGGACGAAACGGCAGTTTAGTGATTCCAGTTTTTTCATAGTAGTCTATCTTCAGCTGACTCATGATCTCAACTACTGAATGATAGTAATAATTGAATTTTAGACCTTTACAGTTTAGTGTAAATCGATTCTCTAGAGAACAAACATCTAAGTATAGAGGAAAAGAAAAAAACAGAATACTTTTAATACGATCAAAAGAGGTTTTGATTATGTTACTTCATAAGATGGAACCCAAGAAAACGATAGAAGTGTTTAAGAAAGGTTGGTATTCAATGAGAACACGATTGAAGTAGAATAACTCTGTATACATATATCAACAAAAAATGATCTTCAGACGCGAGGAAAATGAACATTGAAAAGAGGATGGTTAGTCTCATATCTTATATTTATTCACAAAAACAAGATTCATTGAGATGTCCTTAACCGATTACTACTGACGTGAACTAAGAAAAATGTCCTTCACTTAGTATTTTAATTACTGACTGATAATCTTATAATAGTGTATTTATATGTAGCGCCGTTTACCTAGAACAGTGTGTAATCAGGGAAATAGTGTGTTAAAACAAATCACACCACTATATGTCAATCATAATTTTGACCCTGAGAAAACTTTGATGACAAAAATATTGTATGTTTGTGTTAAAATGAATGTAAATTTGGTCGCTTACATTAGAATTAAATGGGATTGATTGATGACTACTCATGAAGATACCCCTTATTGACAAGTATTAAATAACATAAAACTTAGACCTAAATTCTTCTGTCAACTTTGTCCGACTTCTGAACTTCTAATTGCATTATAAGCTAGTTGTATTTTTAGCATGTAAGTGAATAAACTTAACCAGATAAAATAATCCATTCATTCATAATGGCCTACATACATATTCTACTTCTGTAACAAATAATTTTGGGATAGAAGATAATCAGTTACAAATCTATAACCACCATTTATAACTATTCACTGAATGGACTGTATCAACAGTTTACAAATATGTTTTTTATTAATAAATTACATCATTTCGGAATATTATGTAATCATCAAGATCACTTAAGCGGCTCTTATTTCCTGATTGTTCAAATACATTCAAGTTAAGGATTAAACTTGAAAGAAACATGCTATTTGACAGCTTTATTTTAATTTCTCAGATAAATCATGTAATTAACATATCAACTTCTTTTTCATTTTATTATTTAACTCAAATATAGAAATATGAAGTATCTAATCCGCATATTGCATGGATTCCTTCTACATGTACAAATACAACTACTCATACCGGGATCAAAAGTACTATGTCGAATTCATATAATGACAATGAGAATAATAATAATAATAATAATAATAATAATAATAATAATAATAATAATAATAATAATAGCAAAGTAATCCCTTTAAACTCAGAAGATGAACAAGAACAAAGTCAAATAACTAACAACATATCTATAACTAGTAACAATAATAATAATAATAATAATAATAATAATAATAATAATCTAAGGGTTACGAACTATGAAAATATTAATCACACAAATTCTGTGGATGATCACAACGGTAACCTTGAACATCAATATTGTCGTTTAGACAAAAGTACTGCTGATCATCATCATCATCATCATCCTTCGACTAATTCTACAGAACAATTAATTGATAATGTAGAAATTTTTAAGAAAAGTTCACAAACAGATCAAATGTTTGCTGAATTGAAAGCAGCTACAATAATTGGTACATATTCAAATGATGATGATAATAATGATAATAATAATACGAAGAATCGATTACTGGGTAAAGAAGCAAGTCAATTATTATGTTGCATATATAATAATCCCAACATGATGGAGAAAATTTGTAACTCATGTGAATGATTTTGATGAAGTTTTGTTCTCTGAGCTGGGTGGTTTGGTCGTGGAGCTTTCATCATTTCTGTCAGTGATTTACGGTCAACAAGAACCAATCAATATCAAGATTTACAGAACAAACTGTAAGCCATATAAGGAGAAATTCGAACACTTCACTTCTACCTGAAGTTTGTGCTGATGATGTTGTTCAGAAGTATGATGAAAGCTCCATGACCAAACCATCCAGCTCAGAGAACAAAACTCCATCAAAATCATCCACCTGAGTTACAACTCTTCTCCACCATGTTGGGATTACTTAAATTTCAGTCGCTGAGATTATTTTAAATATATTATTTTCACATATAGTGATTTCTCTATACTTAGCACCTAATTTTCGTTCTAATATTAACGAATATTCGTATAAATTGGTTATGATGATTGTTTAAATTTTTTGTTGAGCATCATAAACTGGCTGCTTTTAGACAGTCATTAAAACTAAGAAGCATTTGACAGCTGTTTCATCCTGTTATGAGACTTTTCAATAGTCCACATTCACCAAGCTATCAGAGATAAAACCTTTAGACATATTGGACCCCTGATCACGGTTTACATTTTAACCTCATTTAACTAGATGTATTAAGAGACCATCATTTAATACTACTGATAACAAAATGTCTCACTGCCTATATGGTTGAATACCATTGGTCACGATTTCGCTCTAGAACTTCAGGAATTACCTCTGAAAGGCTGGACGTTTCGAAAACGCTTAGTTCCGAAGATTCTCATAGTAGGTCAAAATATCTACTCATTACTTCTTGATTTTCAATGGTTGTCTAACCAATGTCAGTCCGTAATGATGATGATTTTATTCAATTACTGACGTGCAGATTTCATCAATTAAGTACATATAACATAACCATTTATTTGTTTCTGTATGATTTCTTTTAGATAATAAACAAATGAATGGGTGTATATCAAAAGTGAAAAGTATTGAAATGGGTGACACAAATGAAACATCAATGCTAAACGATTCAAATAGTTCAACATGGTAAAAATCACTTAATTAAATGCTCACTATTTTAAGGTTTCGGTAGACTGTTAAGTGTAATTATTTGTAAAAGTATGCATATTCTCATTGTTAATATTCAAGACCATAATTGATCACTCTCCGTTGAGATAGACGCATCCTAAATAGACTGCTTTGATAGTGTCATTTAGTAACAAGATTTAATAAGATTGAAATGTGGCTAACAGTGGAGTCTAGTTTGTGTGTTTCGTCTTGTTTAAGACTCCTCACTCTGATGATGTACTTCTAACTTAGTTTTAATGTTTCGGATTGAGATGCAAACCGATTATCTATCACTTTGAATATCAACACGTTATCCGTTGAGCTACAAAGTCCAGATAGCTGCCAACTTGTATGATGAGTATGAAAATATTTTTAAAGGTTTGTATTTTCCCACTATCTTTTTGAGAATTTCACTAATGGTTAATATTTAGTATATTAATATTAAAGAAATGAAATGCACAGTGAGTTTATCAAATGTCATTACTTACTTACTTACGCCTGTTACTCCTCGTGTAGGAGCATAGGCCGCTCACCAGCATTCTCCATCCAACCCTGTCCTGGGCAATCCTTTCTAGCTCCGTCCAGTTGTAATTCATCGTTTTCATATCTGCTTCTATTATCCGACGCAATGTGTTCTTTGGCCTTCCTCTTTTTCGCTTCCCTTCAGGATTCCAAGTTAGGGCTTGCCTCGTGATGCAGTTTGACGATTTGCGTAATGTATGTCCTATCCATTTCCATCGTCTTTTCCTAATTTCTTCTTCAGCTGGAAGTTGGTTTGTTCTCTCCCACAGAAGACTATTGCTGATGGTATCCGGCCAATGGATGTTGAGTATCTTGCGTAGACAGCTATTTATAAATACTTGTACTTTCTTGATTGTGGTTGTTGTAGTTCTCCAAGTTTCAGCTCCATACAGTAGAACTGCCTTGACGTTCGTATTGAAGATTCTCACTTTGATATTGGTTGAAAGTTGTTTTGAGTTCCATATGTTCTTTAACTGTAGGAATGCTGTCCTTGCTTTGCCAATCCTTGCCTTTACGTCTGCATCTAAACCTCCTTGTTCATCGATGATGCTTCCTAGGTATGTAAAGGACTCTACATTTTCCAGAGTTTCGCCATCAAGAGTGATTGGATTGTTGTTTTCCGCTTTGAATTTGAGGACTATGGTTTTCCCTTTGTGTATGCTGAGGCCTACTGATGCAGAGACTGCTGCTACACTGGCTGTCTTCGTCTGTATCTGTTCGTGTGTACGTGATAGGAGGGCTAGATCATCTGCGAAGTTCAAATCGTCTAATTGATTTCGAGCTGTCCATTGTATTCCGTGTTTTCCTTCAGATGTCGAGGTCTTCATAATCCAGTCGACCACCAGAAGAAAGATCAAAAATCCGAATCACACGTCCGCGTCGTTCCTCCTGGATAGTGAGACGAATGTCTCATGAACCAACGTGAGCGGTAACCCGGGTGGTGGAGATCGGGCTAATCACCCACTCTACCTATACCCATCAACTGATTACAAACTCCACAGATAAACACAGCACAACTACATTTGGAATGGAAAAAGACAAAAAAATTTCTCGAAAGTGGTGCATGTATCATATGGAGTTGCTCATCATTGGGCAGAAACAACCATAAAAGTCCCGGTAGTCATGTCGTGATTCAATGTAACCCACAGAGAGACACAAAACGATTACGTTTGAAACGGAAAGTGACAAAATCAAATGTCATACTTTACCTATTTTATTCCTTAACTCATATCAGCACCATGAAAGAGACGATTAGCAAAATAAAAATCAATAAACATGAGTCAATTTCATTTGTAAAAGAAATACAGAACATGAAAGATACAGTTTACAAGATTTCAGCTAGATCAATAAAATGAACAGCCAGGAACAGTGCTTAATATTCAAACGAAGACGCAGTATGAATGAATGCGCTCTATTTCAACCAACTGTGCACCGTTTCAACTGATTTCTCTTAATTCGGATTATGACTACTGTACAACTTGTAAGCAGAAAAATTTTCCTTTCCAAAATGGGTTGCAACTTAGGCAGTGGGAAAACTTGAAATCAATCTTGACTTAAACCAGTAAATAATAGCTTGTCGGCTTAGTGCCATGTCTTAGTCCATCCAGCTCCAACTTGTTTAGAATCTTCTACTTTGCTATTCAGCATAGTATTTCGGGATGGGCAGTGCTTAAGCATAAATAACTCGTGAATTAACCACCCCTTAGTCGACAAAAATTAAGGTATCAGTCGACTCGCTCTTTATACTCGGTATCTTACGCCTAACCTCTGTCTGTTCAAATTCTTGGAGCGTATGTGTGTTAGTAGCCTAGACTCTCTAGTAATCTTAAGAGTACCTCATGGTTAACTCATCAATAATTCATTAATGTTAAATCGCGTAACTACTATTAGTTATGAATTAACTCCTTAGTTTCTCTATAACGAGCTCTAAGATGTATAGGTTGTACTCGTCTTAGATTATTATGGCGTTACTTGGTCGTTGAGCTACGACGCGAATTGATTGAAGTTGGAATTGTGCCACTAGATGCCAACCCAGTGGTTCTAATAGATAAGTGTTCGCTACAAACCTGAAGACCCTAAGTTTCATATCTGTAGAAGTTGTAAGTGCTGACTACTGAGGAGTTACATGCTGAGGCAAAACAGCTGTCAGTTATTTCCTAGTTTTCAATGCTGGCCCAACTGAAGTCAGTCCGTGACAAGTACAAACTACAAATAAAAATATGCTTCACAAATCCCCTTATACCAATAATAATAATCTACTCACTAGTTATTAGTATTGAGGTGCAATTCCTAGAGTTCTAATGAGAAGCCACAACCAGCAGAGTCGACCCATGTTGATTAAAGGAAAGTTATCCACTTCAAACAATACATGGTGGCTGAGTGAGAACGTCAATTGATTAGACTGAGACATTGACATCGTTGTATGCTAGAGACTAAGCGTTCATGAATGGGACCATAGGTCCTTGGTTCGACTCCAGCGTACGCGATCTTGGATACGCACTATTGAGGTGTCCAACATTAGGGCGTAACGGCCGTCCAGGGCTTCCAGGTTTTCTACATAGATCAGTTTGTGACTTAAACTATAAAGATAAATTTAAGAATGTCAATCCTTGTCACTTGTTTACTTTGCAAAAAATCCTCTCTTAAATTTAGACTATATAGTATATGACCCAATAAAGGTATACTATCAAACACTATTTCTGATGATACCTTTTAGAGGAAATAATATTTAACTTTCAGTTCCACTTATTCAAATGAGTGATATCCTGATTACTTGTAGTTTTCCAAATACACTTCTTATTGTTTTCTTTCAATTGTTTCTACTACTGTTATTATTATTATTTAAGTGTCTCCAACGTTTACAACATTCAAAACATTAACTGTAATAAGAATTTAAACACAATTGAGAATGATGAATTGAGTGGTAAACAAGTGGACAATATCAATCAAACAACAAAAACAACAACAAAGAAATCACTAACTAATCAGAAATCTAATGAATTGAATCAATTGAACATTGAAACGAATCACTTGAACAAATGTAGTTTGAATAAACCAAATCAATTTCTTCATAATGAAAACATCTGCCTCATTGAGAATACAAATTGTGATGATGAAAAAACTGTTCAGACAAACAATAATGATAATCACAACATCAATGCTACTTCTAGTAATAATAATAATAATAGTATAAACGATTCGGAAGACGAGTTATTTGATGAGTTGATTAGGGGTAATTTTGATTCACCAATCCCTAATCCCACAGACTATGATTTAAACTCTGTAGATTATGATGAAATAGCTTATGATGATCAGTTATCATCAACTAGTACAAGTCTATTGTTGGATAATTCAAATCCAATTTATCAATCAACAAATAATTCATTGATATCAACTGAAAATTGATCAACATTACTACCATTATTAATAATCGAGTATTTTATTGTGGTGAATTCATGTTTGATTCTCATTTCGTATTGATAATTGAACACCTTCCGGTGATTACAACAATTTCACATACCATACATACAGTGATATACGTCTTTTGTAATTTTAAGAAAATCAATTGACTGTAGTACATATATAATAGGTATATTGTGAGCACAAATATGTTGGTGTGCATAACATTCTTTCTTCCAACATTTTTGTTTGTTAAACATTTTGGAATAAATAAACCTCGTATTATCATATATCGTTAATTTTACTTTAGCAGTTTAATATATACTACTTTGAAGTAGTATGATTGATAATCAGAAAAACTAGGTTGTTATGCCAACATGATGGTTTATTTGAGAACAGAATCCATCGTGGTTCTTTATGCTTTTTGATAGAAATTTTGAACTCCAAACTTCTTTATGTATACATTAAGATGAATATCAATTCCCCTTAAACTGTAACATCTTGATGACGAGTCTTTTTTGTAGCAGTAAATCTGTCTGCTATGAGTTACAGTCTAATGTTGTGTTACGTCTGGAGGGTTGATTCGTTTCAAATTAAATTTTAAACAACTGTCTATTGATGACTGACTTCTCTGTCGTTTTAGCCCATCATACTATTTATCCTCAAAGTGGTGTCATCTACACAAACTAATGTACTCTAATAATGCAGCATCTAAATGAGCTTCTCAAAGTTTTAATCCTAATCAGTCACCTACAAGATAAATGAGTGTAAAACTAACGTATTACACCATCACTGAAGATAAAAGGAACACACCACAACGAATGATAGTCGTACAGTGCGCAGTAGTTTGAAAATTTTACCCAATAGATTCTGAGTTGCACCAAAAGTACTCATGAGCTTGTATAGCAGCGAGTTACGTGATAAATTAAGCTATTTTGGGATGAGAGAATTAGTAACAGTTCTAGAAATCCCCTTCTGTAAATAAAACAAGCTGGATTGAACTTAACACGGTTGGCGGTCATATCTTGTAAGATGATTGTTGTGTTGATGATTACGTCGTTAACGTTTTCACACAGCAAATTTTCCAGTCAATATTCGAGTCCCGTGTGTGGAATCGTGAAGGTGCACTGCTGAGAGGTCCCATACTAAGATGGAACGGCCGCCCAGCGCTTTCAGGATTTTGATGGTGGTTACTGCCGGTCCCAGGCTCGGGCATAGGAGAAGGGTTTGCAACCATATCTTGTAGGGAAAAAACGCTAACCAGTAAAAATAACATTGATCAATTCAAGATCCCAATCAAAACTCAATATTAAGAATAACAATATCCACTGAGTAAAGTACATCCTAACTGTAAGGACTTGGCAGTATTTGACGTTTCTACAGGTATTAATGAACAAGCTAACTAGTTTCTGTGCAGTCTCTGATCAAATATATTCAAGTTAACCACTCAGTTTATACCGGTTGGTTAACGAAAATATTTCTGGGTGACAAATATCCTAAACTGATGCATCGATCCAAGTAATAATGCTTTGTTAATGTCACTCACTGTTGAACCTTCTGTCTCACTACAAACTACTAATCAGCTTGTTCCAAGGGCACGGTTCATCTGACACGAAACACGCTGCTCCCTGAAACCAATAAAAACGGTCTCTCCTCGGTACTTCAGACTATTTACCAATCTATATGTGCGTATCAAACACAAGAGCTGTAGAAATATACGTATGAGAGTACACATCTATATCTTCCAACACTTTCCGAAGACCCCGATATTAAAACTTCCTACATCCCCAAAAAGCTCAATAGCTTGACACTTAATAATAACCACATTCTCGATATAACTAGACAACGATATGACACAACAAGAAAGTAGCAGTCCAGAAAAAACTTGATATTTGGCGAAGACGATTACAAAAACCTTGGGACACATAAAAACCGGAGCTAAAAGTCCCTCCAACCAACCTGAAACTAACAAAGATCATGAGTGATTTTTATTCATAGTTATCGTTCCAAGAGGAAACTAGAAAACCTGGGATTTTCTCAGTAATTATTTAATATTGTTAAATTCTAGGATGAGTAGTTGAGAACGGCTGGTAAGAAATAAAAATGAACTGGCATTGTTTCAGATGTTTTTCCTGTCTTATTCCAATCCATTTGCATGAGATATTGAGTAAAAAAGAATTGTAAGTGAAAACCAAAGGCTAACTATCCTTACACCACATCAGTTAGACGAATTACTAGATTATCCACTTTCTCCTGCTTCTGTAATTTTTCTCACCGTCAGTGTTCCGAGGAAAAATTGTCACCCACTAAGAACCAACAGACTTATTTATAACGGATTAAGTAGTATCTTTATCTTTTGCTAGTTAACTTGATTTTAGTATTGCATCATATGTACATTATTTTCGGCATATAAAACCGCATTCTCAGTATTTAGTCTTCCTCACAATTACTGTGACTAGAATTATTTTAACTTATTTTTTATTTATTTTGTTAATTTCATCTTGTTGTATTAATGCGAACTTGAACTAATACATATTTTATGTCATACTGATCGTCAGTAACACGCGCGAACGCTTAACGTCGAGACCGACGGCCCTGGGTTCGAACCCCCACGGACGGGATCGTGCATGCGCACTGTTGAGGAGTCCCACAATAGGACGAAACGGTCGTCTAGTGCTTTTAGGTTTTGAATGGTGATCTAACATCAATCGGTTCATGATCTTAATCGATATTGATTGTTTGTCAAATAGAGAATCTAACGAAATGAAAACAGTCGCTTATATCCCCTTTCCAAAGGATAGTTATAAATTAATAAATAATATATATATATATATATATATATATATAAGATGAATTTTTTAAAATAACCCAAGTATAAATAATTAGTCAATAACAAAACACTTATGAGAGACAATTAAGAATGACATTAGTTGAAATGAGAGAAGTAACATTATTTTTCTCATGTTAAATAATGGAATAATGATAATATCTTTAAAATAAGGTAACTATAATACAAACACTTAGATATTAGATAAATATTATACAGGTAAATAAGAGGTATATATATATGAATAATAAGATAATTATAAGCCACGATTCTTGTCAACTAATAATCTCCTTGACATTGCCCGATCTTCCTTGCACATCTTTGATAATTCCATTTTATTATGACGAACATTTACAAATGGTTTAGGTATACGAATATCTTGTCGTACAACAGTAGTCGATTTAGGAGGAGTTATTGATAATTGCTTAGAAACACGATGAGGTGTACAGGACAAACGACGTGACTGATTATATTTCAAATCATACGCTTTACGTCGAGCAAATGCACTGTCAGCTGGAATTTTAATAGTATTTTTACGCGATAATGGATTGCAAGCTAACAACAAAAAAGAATGAGAAAATATGAAAAAATTCATTTGAAGTTCTCTTTTCTAGACCAGATATAGGAACAAGATAGTACGATTTTTCGATTTATCATGATATATTACTACCATTACACAGCAAAACGGCCCATTTTCAAGATAATACCACAGAATCGAACAGTCCGTCGATACACTATACACAGACTGAGATTAGGACGCTATACCGGATACACGATTAGCAATCAACTATAGCGCGAACCAGAGTATATGCCAGACAACAGATATATTTAACATGAACCCTAGTAGTCCATTACACGTAGTGAGTAGATATCAGTATTAGGAGGGAATTCATGAATAGTAATTTGAATGTATCTGTCTTTGCTCAGTGACCAATTTCATCTTACTTTCACTGGCTACATAGCATTGAGAAAATTGGAAAGGAGGAATACTGGAAAATCCCAGTATTAAGCGGTGCAGGCAGAATGAAACAAAAGACACTATTACAACAACCAATTAATAACACAGTCCTTGAAGTCTTTAAAATTTCAACAACTTTATGATATAAAACAACAACTAGTTATCGTTTGTCATTGGTTAATAGGATCAACTTTAGTTGATTTCCAAGGTAAAGTAGGGCATCCTACCAACGCAGCGATTCACTTCTAAAGGAATAACATGAAGTTGGAAGTTAATAGAAATGAACAGCGGTTTTAGTGTAAATGTTAGTGATACTATATAGCTACGGACATTGTAACCGGGGAAATATGAATTAATTTCGATATGGGACCCAATGATTAAGAGTTGAATCCAGGAAACTAATGAATAATAAACTTAGACACTTAAGTCAACTAAACTAGATAGTATGTCCCAATCGATAACGGTTCTGTTAACCAAAGATTGAGCAAACTGATTATAAAGTTTGTACTCAATTGACAAATAATAGCATGCGTGTCCACGAGTTTTATGAATTATATTAATTATCATATATCATTTGTGTTCCCACATCCTAAGGATTGGTTAGTTTCTCAAAAACAATTAATCTGTTTAATATTTAACTTACCAGTGAATAAACTAATATATTTACGCAACAGGAAGGTATTCTTAAAACAGTAGGGATATAAAATAGCATTTCTTAACATGATTTGTTACTCACTTAGTAGTCTTCAGAAACTGATTAATCGAGAGATAATTTCTATCATGAGTCTATATATATATATATATATATATATATATATATATATATATATATATATATATATATATATATATATATATATATATATATATATATATATATATATATATATATATATATATATATATATACTGTACCATTGAATATAATCGTGCACTGACTAGTTATGACATTATGATGAATGAAGCACATGGGCATCTTCTATATACACGCTAGTAACCAGGTGTCGATTGATATTTATTCCATCTCCATTTGTTCTCCTTACTGGTTGCTGCCTCAAGCTGTTTATGACTGACAAGATGTGTTATTAATTTTGTTCTTTTCATGATGATCTAATGTAGTAAATCAATCAGGTATCAGACACAAAATAAGCGCACGTTTGTGGTTAAAACCTGGCTTCCTTTCCTATGGTTAGACGTGTAGCTTAAATTTCTAAGATTCTTAGGATGCTAGATCCCTAGAAATCACTTGGTAAGCGTTTTACTTTTGTAACTTTTTCGAAAATTTGAATTTTTCATTCTCGCGCCAAGAGCGCCCACTTTTACCTTCATCTTGTATTTTGTCTCCTTCTTTAATACGCTAGTTTGTGACGTTTCTCAAGGACTTTTTTATGCTGCATATATACGCTTGATTTGTGTGCTTGTTGGTTCTTGCCTCCGATTATGTGGAATAGACTATTCTCTCACCTGAACCTGGTCTTCTCCCCCTGGTTATATATATATATATATATATATATATATATATATATATATATAGAGAGAGAGAGAGATTAATTCAATAAACCTTCTTCTACGTCGTCGGCTGAGCTTATATATGGAAAGCTTACGTATCAGTATCAGAATCGGATACCAACACAAAACATGATATAGAATCGTCAAGCTGTCAGATCCTACTGTTATTTTTCCATGCTTTACGCCCGTAAATCACAATATATTACTGGAACTAGGAATAATACAATGTATTAACTACATTACAAGACATTCTCCAACTAATCAAAAATACGTACATCATAGAGGTAATAATAGGCCTAGAAAGTTTCGAAAAATGACAATTACCCTTCAAACATCAATACAAAATCTTAAATAAATATACATTATTTGAAGCGTAAATGAATACTGATATAACTGTGGTTGTCACTGATCAGTGATACTAGGTATGCAATTTACTGACTAAATAACGTACAATCTATTTAACAAAAAACAACCTTGCCAACAATGTAACGAATACGAGTAATTCAAGATAAATATATTTTATACCATTGGATATAATGGTATAAAATCACTAACATAGACTATGTGCTCATATCAAAGAGATTTATTTTCAAACGACTCAAACCTAAGAAAACTAGTCACAATGAAAAACATTTACATTAGCTATTATATGTAGATGTCTACAACAGACATCTCTCACTTGTGTGCAGGTTCCCATAGAGAAATATGAAAATGACCAGAGATGACACATTTATTTTCAACAGCCAGTCAAAATAAGTTGCAGAATACACGAAATTGTCTACAATATTATTCGTTGTGGGTTGAACTGATTGATGTGAGCTACATAAAATGACTAAAGTGACTAACAAAATGAGTAATTACTATAATTTGGGTAACTGTCCCATAAATTAAGCATTAGTGTTGTAGTTATTTGACAAAATAATATATGAAACCAGGGAGAAATACACTCATAAAATACCTGCCAAATTGTTTGCCTGTTGTTGGTTATTTACAGTTGTACTAATTTCATTAGATGAGAAAGGAGAAAGAAGTGATTTACTTCGTTTAACCGAATTTGAATTCTTCAATATTGTGATTTTGTCATTCAAACGAATTGATGTTTTCTTCTGAAGGCTGAACTTGTGCTCAGGTATATTTGTTTGGGAGATCTCAGATTTATCGCCAGATGAATTCGAAACTTTTTTATTGTTGTTAACAAAAGGCGGTGATGCGAATGGTGGTCGAGGTTTATTAGTCAAGTTATGCCGTGAAGCATATGATACCAATGATTCCAATTTTGAAGCGGCCTTAGCATGAATCTTACTGAAGTCTGATGAGCAGTAAACGAAGCAAATATAATGAAATATTTATGTAACGGCATACACAAATATTATTTTCAGCACACGAGGTTTGTGAAGACTTTTGTATTTCAATATATTACATCAAGGATTGATTTTAGACAATTACTGAAATTAAAGAAGCCCTGGACAACTGTTTCGTTCTAATGTGGGACACATCGGCAGTGTGTACGAGACTGGATAACCGACGTTGGATTTATAGTGTGGTTATGGATAGGCACCGCTTAGGAGTCTCATACTAGGACGGAATAGCTAACCAATGCTTTCTGTTTTCAGTAGTTGGCTAATTATAATCAATCTGTGATGTAATTATGAAAATATTATTCCGATAATTTACATCTAAAACATAAAATAATGAGGAAAACACCTTGTCACGAGAAATTCAGTAAATCGGCCTAAAAGCTACACTCCACATCTACGTTTGGGCTTAAAACTAGAACACTAAACAGTAGTAAAGAATACTTCTATTTGAATTCCACAAACTAATGACTGAAGACCAACAAACAGGTTTTGGTGGACACTTCTTAACAGTATGGTATATTTGACTCGAACTTAACGAAGGGAATTTCCATGGGAAATGACGGTAAGTAGAAGCAAAAATACTATCTTTGGACAGGAAAGCATGAATTAGGCAAACGGGATGATAGAAATCTACTCACAACCCCTTCGAAACCTGAGATGTCTAGAATCCCTATTTCACTGGTATGGCAGTGGGATTAAGAAATATTTTTCAAATTCCAATTACCCAAATGTTCTTTATTTCCCCCCACTATTCTTAATCATATTTATGCAGACACTGGATCAATTAGTTTTACTTTGTTTTACTTCGAGTGCTCCAGCTTCAAAGAATAATTGATTTAATACCCGTAGCTCACATAAATAGATTCTTTGGGACGACATTCGTAGAACATGTCCAAGCCACCGAAGTCAGTGTTTCAAGATAGTGACACCAAGTGAATTATCGTCTTTGCGCCCGAACACACGATGCCGAACCTCATTACTAACATGGTGTTGCCGCTGGATGTCAGCAATCCTTTGGAGACAACGATAATCAAACACATAGAGTTGTCTAACATAAGATATGCTTTGATAGTAGACTATTATGTATCTGTTTCGTGGCATACTGCTGTTATAGCAGGGTAGATTATGCTGTTATGTCAACCAATCATAACCAACATAGAGCCTTGAAAAAATATGCGTTACTCCAACTTGCTGTAGCACATCAGGAAGAGATGAAATTAGCAAGACGGATAACAATAGTCAAAGCAATTGTAGTAGCGATGATATTGAGAAAGACTAAGCATTGAGAATATGATTTGAGAAATATAAGTGAAGTTATGCATGAAGAGATACTGGGACTCAAGATCTAGATGAAGATAAAGTGCGAGTATGTGTCTTTATGGCCTATTCTGAAGCATGTTATTTAATATATCCAACCATTGATCAACGATGTCTCAAGGACCCCTGACGTCACATCGTAATTCGGTTACCCATAGTTTTTTTTTAACCTACTCCCACTTCCGAGCGCGTCAGAGAAGACGGGATCTTAGCAAAAATAACACATGTCCCAACCACCATAGTCGATGGGGACTCATAACCTCATCGTCTGACTTGCCATCTTGGTCTAGTAATTGATCCCTAACCTTAGAGTTGGTCATTTGGTTATTCCACTCACTGCCTTCTCAAGGCGAGAGTGGTGTTTACAGAATTGAGAAAACGAAAAAAGAATGTCCGGCGCTTTAGCCGGGTTGGTGAATATAGAGGATCTACTTAGAAGATTGGAAAACCATGATTCCAAACCGATGATGCACATGAGCTCTAGGATCCTGAGGGGACAAACGGCGCATAAACCTATTCCTGGTCACCAGCTACTATGAGACTGTATCTCCAAACGTTGCGCCACTGCCTTGTGGATTAGACCTCTAGGTCAACGGCTCGGTTAGTGGCCTCCTAAGGAAAATATCTGCTTCGGTTTGGGCACCAGGGCAATATTCCAGCCCTCACACAAATTGAATGATGAAATGTGGCGCATATATATTTGGTGCCTCCTTGTACCAGTGTTTGTGTCTAAATAAATAATAATAAGAGCAATACTTTGAAGACATCTATAATCAAGAACTTGCTGTGATATGGAAAATGTTGAGCAAGGACCTATTCTAATTAAAATTTAGGAATGTCGTCTTTATAATGGACTTTTATTCCTTCTTTCTTGACACCATTTAAGCGAACATGCATGAAACTATGGAGCAGTAAGCCCTTAAAATAATAGTATTTCGTCATTGGTAATTCATATACCAAGTACGGATTTATGTGATCAGTAATGAGCCATGTTGTTTTTGTGAGCAGTAATGGTAGTACACGGAAAACCAAAGTGAAGTGAAGTGACTTTTGAACCTGATTTAGTAGTTGAAAAATAAATGCTTATTTAGCAAATCGCATCATAGTCATAACTGTTACAAGACAATTGTCGAAACTCATTCTGTACGTATGACAAAAAATTGAACGTAATAAAGATGAATTTGAATTACCTGGAACTGTCTTGATAACCGATGGTTTTTTAGCTATGGACAATTTATGGGATTCTGGAAAATGTTTTAAAAAATAGCAGTTAAATATAAAAGCCAAACAATGAAAGGTTACTCTACAAAAGTTAGTTTTGTTGAATAATGCTTGATCTGATCGGAATTAACGAAAATGTTTACTTAAAAAAGGTTATTAAATTGTTGCTTTATGGGGCTATATCGTTATTATTAGATGTCCCCTGAGTAAATGAATACTACCAGGGTTAACAAAAGAAAGTCTGACATGGAGAATGCCATCAACAAAAGAGAAAATGCTAGCAGCTCCTCTTAAGCTTTAACATGACACAGTAATATTTTCCCACCTTATAATAACAGAATAAGCTTGATACAGTGAAGCAGAAATTTACGAACTCAACATTTTTATCTATAAATAAGGGAAAACCACACATTAATAGCCAAAAAATAAGGTCAAATTATTAGAGTATTCAACGTGAATTTTATCTTTAACTGATGAATACAATAAACCTAGGGCATGATTGCCGCCAACTTATTACTTTGAGCTACACCTCAAATCACTGATTACATGATTTCTAGAGTTCTATTCGGGGAATCACATCGTGTAATAAACTGACCAATATTTTTTCGTAATGACCTTATTGAACTCTATCAGATAAAATACTTGTCTGAAACCTTACTATTTGTGATACGTTGACTAGAGATACCAGATCCAATGAATGTAACGTACGAGGGTGAAGTCGTACCAGTATTTTAGGGTACGGGATAAGAAAGTAATCTCCAGAGATAAATATGATCCACAACCAAAAGATCTGAATTGGCATACAAAACTAAGGACGTCAGCACAAAACTGACCTTTGTTATGTCAACACAAGCAGTCACAACTAAACAGGCATAAGGACTTCACTATTTCTAATAACTCCCACCAAGCATGATTACAGAGGTACTTTACTGTCAATCTTGGTTATTTATTTATTAATTGATTTAAACACACACATTAGTGCAAGGATGTACTAAATATATATGCGTCGCACTTCATTCGATTTGTATGAGGGCTGGAATACTACCTAGGTACTCAAACCGAAGCAGGTATCGTATGGATACACTACACTTCAACGATCTAAACAACATACCATACGTATGGACGGTAGTTTTCAAGTGAATAAGTGTAGTATAGGCAACTTATACATCATCACTGAGTAGAATGATTTCTACGCGTTCAAAACCAGATAATTGTCTTCAAAGTCCAGAATCTATACCAATGCAAACTACTTTCAGGACACCATTATTGGTAAAGCTAAAGAGGGATGGTGGTATTTAACATCTATGTATGACTGATTAGTAGTAACAGAAAATAAGTCATGTACGCTCATGTATCATTCATTCAATCCATTCTGGTCCATGGCGCTGGGAAATGTCGAGAACACTAACAATAGTCACGACTCGGAATATTCTTAAATTACAACAATTATACTTGAAATATTACTAGTACACCGTCAGGTAATTTAATATATTGACCTATGCACTGCTTATGGCGACTGTAACTAAGATCGTATGTAGAGACGGTATGATATCATGACTACTGAAAAACTTAATTTCATAGACAGAACTTATATAGCAAAGGAGTGTATTGAGAGGGAACTTAAAATCCGTAAACTATAAACAATTTGGAGTGGAAGGTGAGACGTTCACTACATAATAGATACGTCCCATTTCGACTGAGTGGCATTACCTGAATATTGCTTGAGTGGTTTCTCAATAGTATCCTTCTTGCAGCACACCACAGGAGAAGCTAGCTGCAGATATTGAGTGAAATATATAAAGTGAACTGACCTCGTATGTTCGATTCAAAACACCTGAAGCTTCATCGCCACTTATTGGTGTAGATGTTATCCCACCATTTTCTTTATTTTCTTGATCGTCAGAAGGAAGCTTAGGCTTGTCCGTACATCTGAAAGAAGACTCTTCAATCTGTCCCGAACGATGACGCGGAAAGCATAGTACATCTACCTCAACAGACTCAGCAGATGCTGTTTCACCATTCTTTGTACCAGTACTTTCAAATTCCTATGAGCCTATAGAGGCAAGGCATAATACAAACCTGAATACAAAGCAGGATTTTCAGCTTCTTCTTTAGTTCAGAGGCCTGCAGTGATAAGATAAACATGCTTGACGCTAACCTTTTTGTTAGCCTTGATACCATGCATTTTAGCAAGCCTCTGGAGTTCTACATAGCGCAAGCTATCAACATCTACCATCATTCTACCCCTAACCAACTAATTACGGAATCCGCGCCTCTAACGGCACTTACCATATATTGTTCGTTTCACTATCCAATACTTTCAGTGGAAGCAGTAAAATCTAAGTAATTTCCTTCTTATAAAAACTTGACCACATAATCCAATTTCGGAACCATGGTGGTGTTTGGGAAAATCAGGCTAGATGACTCAAATGGTTGTGAACGGAATAAAAGAAGCCTGAGCTAAACAGGCTTTCGTATCCTATGGAAGTGTACCATCGATGCCTCCAGGTAAAGACTTATATGTAACTGACGAGTAGAAAAGAAACATTAGGGAATTGTGGTATCTATCTAATTGCATTTAGTTGCAACCATAAACTACCCACACATCAATTAGTTTCTTTGCAAACTATTTCCGATTGCAGGCGGGTGGCCCTATGTCAGCATCAGTTTGGGAACGACTTCGTGAGACCGATTGCTTACCAGATCTTTCTGTACTTCCTGGTTCCTTGAGACCAGCTGTAAAAAGTCCTTTACGACCCCTTGCTCAAGATAGACCAACTGTTTCTGAACTAATCAATTATCCTTTATTTCGTCTTCATGTCAATGTTCGTTCGGATGAAGGACGTCTGGGGAGTCGTTTGGACCACCGAATCCAGCAGCGAATCCGAGGATATATAGGGCCAAAGAAACGTCACTGAGACCTAACAAAGTCGCCCAGTAGTCTAGTTATTAAACGTAGGACAGTTCATCAATTTTCATCAAGGTCAATGATAACCAACTCACGACATGGACTGGCCTTGCAGACTCAACTACTCATAGGTGATAGAAAGTGTACCAACTCTAAGCTATGAGTTATTGAAAGGTCACTTCTGGGTTGATTGTATACTAATGCGTGGAAGTAAGTTTTTAGTTTGAGTTCTCTGACTGATCTCATAGCTCGCATTTGGATAAGTTCCAAGCTGTTCATGTTCTTTTGTAGTGAAGGGTAAAACGATACAATTCCATACTCTGAATGGGACCGAATAGAACTTAAAAATTAGGCAAAAAGTTGAACTTACCAAAAATGTGAAAGAGCTGATCTAAAAAGTATTTCTATCACAGTAAGACTTTAGAAACTATAGAAACTTTGTTCTTCAACTAGGGGTGACTTATCTACTACTTACTACTTACTTAAGCCTGTTACTCCCAATGGAGCATAGGCCGCCGACCAGCATTCTCCAACCCACTCTGTCCTGGGCCTCCTTTTCTAATTCCATCCAATTCTTGTTCATCTTTTTCATGTCTATTTCCATTTCTCGGCGTAATGTGTTCTTTGGTCTTCCTCTTTTCCGTTGACCTTCAGGATTCCATGTGAGGGCTTGTCTTGTGACGCAGTTGGGTACTTTCCTCAATGTGTGTCCTATCCATTTCCAGCGCCTCTTCCTGATTTCTTCCTTCGCTGGGATCTGGTTTGTTCTCTACCACAGTACGTTGTTGCTAATAGTGTCCGGCCAACGGATCTGAAGTATTTTGCGTAGACAACTGTTAATAAACACCTGTATTTTCTGGATGATAGCTTTCGTAGTTCTCCAGGTTTCCGCCCCATACAGTAGAACTGTGTTGACATTTGTATTGAAAATCCTGACCTTGGTGTTGGTTGACAGTTGCTTTAAGTTCCAGATGTTCCTCAGTTGTAAATATGCTGCTCTTGCTTTGCCGATCCGCGCCTTCACATCTGCATCAGATCCACTCTGTTCATCAATGATGCTGCCCAAATATGTAAAGGTTTTTACATCTTCCAAATCTTCTCCGTCAATTGTGATTGGATCGGTGCATGCTGTGTTTTATCGGAGAACCTTGCTCTTCCCTTTGTGTATATTGAGACCTGCTGCTGCTGAGGCTGCTGCTACACTGTTCGTCTTCTCCTGCATTTGTTGTTGCGTTTGGGATAGAAGGGCCAGATCATCTGCGAAGTTCAGATCGTCCAACTGCATCCTAGATGTCCATTGTATCCCGTGCTTCCCTTCAGATGTTGACGTCTTCATGATCCAGTCGATCACCAGGAGAAAGAGAAAGGGTGAGAGTAAGCAATCTTGCCTAACACCGGTCTTCACTTCGAGCGACTTTGTCAACTGTCCTCCATGCACGATTTTGCAGTGTAATCCATCATATTAATTCCGTATGATATTGGCTATCTTCTGAGGCACGCCGTAGTGTCGAAGAAGTTCCCATAATGTTGTTCTGTCCACGCTATCAAATGCCTTTTCGTAGTCAATGAAGTTGATGTAGAGTGATGAATTCCATTCAATTGATTGTTCCACAATGATCCGTAGAATTGCGATTTGGTCTGTACACGATCTATCCTTACAGCATCCTGCCTGTTGGTCACGAAGTTGGGCGTCTACACAGTCCTTCATCCTGTTTAACAAAACTCTGTTGAAGACTTTTCCCGGTATTGAAAGAAGAGTGATGCCCCTGTAGTTATCACACTTGCTGAGATTGCCTTTCTTCGGTATTTTGATCAGAAGTCCTTCTTTCCAGTCTGTTGATACTTGTTCCTCATCCCAAATTTTATTGAAGAGAATGTGAAGTATCCTTGCAGTTGCCGCTACGTCTGCTTTTAGTGCCTCTGCTGGAATGTTGTCTGGTCCTGCTGCTTTGCCACTCTTGATTTGTCTGATGGCCATGCTGATTTCTTCAATTGTTGGTGGGCCAACGTTGATTGGGAGGTGCGTGGGTGCTGCTTCGATGTTGGGTCGGTTCAGTGAAGCTGGTCGATTTAAGAGTTCTTTGAAGTGTTCTACCCACCTGTTTTGTTGCTCTTCAATGTTGGTGGTTACCTCGCCTTCCTTGCTTTTCACTGGTCGTTCTGGTTTGCGGCGATTTCCAGAGAGTTTCTTTGTTATGTCATATAGTTGTCTCATGTTCCCTTCTCTTGCAGCCTTTTCCGCCGTCTTTGCTAGATCTTCCACGTATTTACGTTTGTCGGTTCTGATGCTCTTCTTCACTTGTTTGTTTACTACTGTGTATTCAGCTTGTGCCTTGGCTTTTTCTGCTCTTGTTCGGCTGCTATTGATTGCTGCCTTCTTTTTTATCCTTTCTTGAATCTTATCCAGTGATCCATTCCTTGTGATGGTGCTTCTTGTGACCCAGGACCTCATAACATATTGAAGTGATTGCCTCTTTGATCCCCTTCCAGTTGCTCTCCACAGTAGTTCCTTCTCCATTGAGTAGATCATGAAATGCCTGGAACTTGTTGCTGAGGACTATTTTGAATTTGTTGATTTTGTTAGTATCCTGAAGAAAGGCCGTATTGAACTTTTGTGATATTTTCCGCCCCATTGTCCAGTGCTTCTTGAGTTTCAATTTCATCTTGGCGACCAGCAAGTGATGATCTGATGCTATATCAGCTCCCCTCTTGGTTCTCAAGTCCTCTATAGTCCTGCTGAACGTTTTGTTGATGCAAATATGGTCGATTTGGTTTTGCGTGGTGTGATCCGGTGAAGTCCATGTGGTTTTGTGAATGCGTTTATGTGGAAATATGGTGTCGCCTATGACCAGTTTTCTGAAAGCACAAAGGTTTGCAAATCTCTCACCATTTTCGTTTCTTTCTCCCAGTCCATGTCGTCCCATGATGTCTTCATACCCAGTGTTGTCCGTTCCAACCTTGGCGTTGAAATCTCCCGCCTGGAGTCCCTCCGGGGGCTACTGCCGGTCCCATGACCGGATAAAGGAGGAGGGTTGGGCATGGGGTTAGCTTACCTATCCCGTAGAAAACGAACTCGCTAAAAAACGCTATTCAGAAAAAATTATTCAAACCTTTTAACCTCTGACCTGGGAGTCCGAAGGTCTTCATTTAGAAGAACTATGACGCCTCATGATGAAAGCCGAATTCCTTCGGAAGTTACGAGGCCGATGCCCCTTCTGACAACCAGAGCGACCATTTATTTAGGTACATGGAATGTTCGTACAATGTGGGACACCGGGAGAGCCTTCCAAATTGCTGCGGAAATGAGAAGATACAACCTAGAGGTACTTGGGATCAGTGAAACAGATTGGACGCAAGTTGGACAACAACGACTAACTTCAGGAGAGCTTCTGTTATACTCCGGCCATGAAGAAGAAAATGCCCCACATACACAAGGAGTTGGATTGATGCTGTCCAAACAAGCGCAAAATGCGCTTATAGGTTGGGAATCTCATGGACCAAGGATCATCAAAGCCTCGTTCAAAACAAAAAAGGAGGGCAATACAATGAATATCATCCAATGTTATGCGCCTACCAACGACTACAATGAAGACGCTAAAGATCAATTCTACAATAAGCTGCAGTCAATCGTCGAGAAGTGACTTATCTAAGATGTGTGTATAACCTGCAACATGTCGCACATGGACTGCTGTACACGTCGAAGTGCTAAAAGTAAGTCCGTTGTCATCCGCCCAATCTTACAGTCAGTCAGACTTTTGTGAGATTTTATCATGATCCTAGCTTTAAACTTTTCTCCGAAGTTTAGCATCGTTAGCGAAAAACTAATAGCTAAGACGATGCCTGTTGAAGGCTATTCATGTGAACTGAAAATCAAGGAGACCTTATCACTGAACCATGGAGGACCTCACTAGGATATTCTGTAACCTGAGAAAATGCAAAGTTTACCCTGAGTGGTCATGGTCAGTGTCAACTTGTGCAACCACAAATCACCAAACAGGAATTAATTCAGTACCTATATGTTCCAATATTTTCTGTAGTGGTTTTCAGTGAAGATGTGAAACTTGCTGTTTTTTTGGCTAAACCTTCATATTACCTGAAGCTGACCTTGTAGTTAAAATGCTACATAAAATGTTTGAGTATGTAAATAATTTCTTATAATGTATAATTCTGTAGAGACTTGACATTGACCTCAATGTCTTTGGTTTCAAAAGTCACCACTAGCGAGAGAAGTTTTGTCAGGCGTCGTAGTCATATCTAAATACAACCCATGAGAGATGTTCCTTCTCCTCCAGATAATCAGATAGGTTAACATCCATTCACCGACACTTGTCTATCCTCAAATATGCTATTCCTCTGAGCCTTTCTTTCTTTTTTTCT